CGATCAACTTTCTTTCTATTCCATGCTTGATCATCTTACTTAGGAGATGATTGAACCGATCGAAAGTTTGTATGAGTTTTTCTTCTGGTTTCTGTTCGAAAACTCCAAATTCTGACAGCAGCAAGGTTTGAATGGAGTGTTCCAGATCTTCATCAGTTGAATAAAGTTCCTTCAACCTATCCCAGATTTCTTTGGCCGTCGTGCATGATCCAACCAATCGAAAAGTGTCAGATTGTAAGGCGAATCTGATCATTCTTATGGCCTTCACGTTACACAGAAACTTGTCTTTCTCATCCTGTGGCATCTTCTCTACATCCGCCACAAGCTTGTTATATTCCTTTTGGGACTTAACTGTCGTGTTCGTTCCTGAATGAACAAACGGCCCAAGTGTGATAGCTTCCCAGATGAGATAGCCATTATCTTCAGATCCAACCACGTAGTCTTCAAAGTGATGCGCCCATACTTTATAGTCTTGAGTGTAGAGTATGGGTATCCTGGTTGTTGATCCAATGCTGTTTGAGATGTTGATAGGATTTTTTTGCGAATCTCGTTAGACATGGTGAGCTGCTAGAATCAAACCTGTAAACTTGGGATTAGGGTTTTATCTGAAACAGAGTTGTCGTCGATACGAAGAAGACGGCTTCTATTTATATGATAAAAGCGGAAACCCTAAAGAATTCTGAATACAGAAGGAATGTGTATTGATCACACAGTCTCCTGCTCTGATACCAATTGTAAGAACAAAGTTCTTTCAGGATCGTTAGATTCTATGCAAGCAAACAATTAAGAACGTAATCAAGAACACAAGAATGGCTTTGAATATGTCGAATGATTAATACTTCAACACCTCAGAAGAGCTCGATTAAGAACTTCAACTGTAGAGGTGTTTAGTGTTACAAAACAATGAACGTAATTATCAATCTTAACTAATGCATACATGCATGCATATTTATAGCATAACCCTACTAGATAATCACAGATGGACAGGCCCAATCTGGATACAAAACAAAAAGCCCATGACGCAACACAATTAAACTCAACAATGTTATTATAATACCTTTTAATTGCTCGTGATACGGGGAATCTGGTTTGAAGGGTCGCATAGGGTCGTTGGATTTCAGAACGACTTAATTGCTAAAATGATCCTGTCCTCCGGTGTTCAGGTATGCCCCTATCTGTACATAGTAGTTGAAAAGTATTGTTTAACACTTATAAAAAAACATCGCTCGTAGACATTGAGTTAACTAGTCACAATAAATATTAGACTAAAACTTAGCAATAATAATGTTAGGTTTCGTCAAAGGAAAAGACGATTGTTAGAAGCGAAGCGATGTCCGAATTTCGAGTCATCACTTTAACAAGTGAGTGCATGGTTACTTTCATCTTACACATATATATGAAGTATTTAATTTAAATTATGTGTTATGTGTGTATATTGTCTGTGTTCTTGATATCTATGCTGGATGAACAAAATATACATGTTTTATTCGATTTAAACTGTATACGTATTTTATGCTTATAATTAAGATGGGTAAAGATAGGTGGATGAAATATGAGATGAGAGATGATATATGAGATGAATGATGAAAGATGATATAGATGATTAAAGGTGAAAGATGATGAGAAGCCTTGACCCAAGCGATGGCTTAGTCCTCTAGCAGAGTATAGATGACAACCACAGACTATTCTAGATAATCCAGTTGAACGTTAGCAGACTCGCAACCTGTAGGTGTTGTGAACGATATGTTCACCAGATGTACTCTAAAAACTCTGGCAGTTATGGACTTAGTGCCTCACAAATGAACGTTGACATTTATGGATTTATTACCCTACAGATAAATATTGGCAGTTATGGACTTAGTGTCTAATAGATAACATCGGCAGCTATGGACTTAGTGCCTGTTATATAAACCCTGGCAGCGATGGACTTCGTGCCTATTCCTTAGGACAATCCTTAGGAATGAATATCGAGGAATAGATGATTCTTAGGAAAGATACTTAAGAATAAAGAAGATAATGGGGATGGGTAATTGGGTTAATTGTTTGATGATGAAACATAATAACTTTATTGTTGTGGGTTGAAAACCCTATGTACTCACCAGGTTTCCCAACCTGACCCACTCAATTTATTTGTATCACAGGTATCGATACGAAGACACATTACACTGAGAGATTAAAGGAGATGTGAATCATTAGTGTAAATGAATGTAAGGTCTTTTTATGCTTATGTTTTTGTACTGACAATGACATCCCAATGTTTTAATATAAATTAAATACATTTCTTCGGAAATGCTTTGATAATATTATTATCATGTTTTTCTGGGAACAAATTCCGCAATATCATTCTTTAAAATGGATACTCTGATTTTCAAATAAGCATAAACAAAATTTTTAAAATGACCGTGAATTTGGGGATGTCACAGGTCGTGATCCATTATGTGTATGCATTGTATATGTATTGTGGTATATGATATTTTGGAGAACTCACTAAGCTTCGTGCTTACCTAGTTGATTATAAATGTTTTCAGGTACTCTTTCGGATGATGAGAAGGGCAAGGCTCGACTGTACACACGTGCATGCACATCATGTTTTTCTGTATAATGTAGATATACTCTGATGTATTGGAATAAATAAAAATGAAAAAAATATGGTAAAAAATGCGGGATGTTACAAATAATGAGTTTTAAGAGACCAACATAGACCTCTTCTTTCGTAGTTGCACCCAAGGAGCAAGCCAACAACATCCGACAACACCCCAAGAACAAACACACTCAATGTCATAAACTAGAAAGCTGGAATGAGGCCTACGTGCTGCGTAGGAGGCTGTGATTTTTGGTTTCAAGAATCGGAAGGTTATGCCAAACACTATGATTTTTCTTGAGAGATTTCATCTTTCATACATTACCAAATCCAGTCTAGGTTCCCTCTAATTATATGGAAGGATTTCAATCCTAAAAGGATAAAGAACCAATCACAAGATAACTATCCATATCTATGGTAATTATCTAGCTTTCCAATCCTTTATGTAGAACCTTCTAGATTGTCAAATTTCAATTAATTAACTAAAGACTTGACTAATTAAAAAATCATGTCCGTATAACTTTCGTTTCATTAGTTACGTATTTATGTCCTTATGTGTAACCCAAAAGGACTCTACTATTGATAGTAATATTACCAACTGATGTGACTATGAGCACCATATTCCAACAAACCCATCAAGCTATGAAATTTCATTATCGTCATTTTCAGTCTATTCAGGCATACATGATGTGTTATCAACATCTTAAGGAGCACTAGTATCTTATAAAGAATAATTAGCATCTACCAATTTGTCTTCCTGAAACATATAGCATCTTAGAACCAGGAAAATGGTTAAAAGACTATGTATTAAGATTCACTTGTTCTGAAGAAAAAAAATTGTCTTATTTTCATTGCATGTTGTGTTAGGAATCAAATTTCCACATGCAAAGATAAAGAAAACCCACATTTCTTTTGTAAAATTAATGTGTTAAACTTTTACATAATCATAGATGATCACTGGAATAATCATATTGTTACTTAAAAGCACTTAATGATAACTCATCTGCAAGGTTATCCCATGACCATAGTTTTTTAGGGGTTTCTCAATAGAAATAGAATTTTCAAAACTCTATTCATTTAACAAATTTTCTTTAACTTCTCCAAAACTAATAGGTATTCACGATCCCTTGCAAAGGAAATACAAATTTATTCTATCTTATACTTAAATGGAAATCTGAGATGGAGCAAACGATTGATTAAAAGAAGCTCATACAATATGGTAAATGTTACCAAAAGAAATGAAAGAAGTGAAGAAAGAATGGTTAAAGAAAATGACTATGATGATGAGTGAGGGTAGAGTGAGCTAGTTAAAGGAAATAAAAAGATCTAGATGTTTTCTTATATGAAAATGGCCATCGTTTTCCATAGGAGCATGTAGAGGGCTAACTAGAAGGGGTGGCTGGTAGGACCAAATGTAATATAACAATAATGCACTTAAAATAAATAAAAAATATTTATTAAAAGAGAAATTAAATTGCTTCCTACTTTTTGTGCCTACAAATGTTCCTACCCAATAAAATTATGACAAGTGTCATTATTCCATATTTTTTTAACTAACTCATTAACGCTATATTAGGAATATATCAAATAAAATTAAATTGAATGGTGATTTGTCATAATCTTAGTGGGTAGGAATAATTGTAGGCATAAAAGGTATGAGGTAATTTAATTATCTTATTAAAAATATCTAAATGGTTTCATGGCCGTTCACTACAGCTCCATTCTTTACAAGGATATCGAGAAGGCTCGCCCTTTCGTAAATATGCTAAGACACTAAAGTATGTCACATACCCTCTCATGACCCACTCCTAATTGAAACCACTAAACCTCCCGTATGGAGAGGTCAGTGCCAATATCCGGTAAGCCACCAAGAAATTTAGTCACTTTACTTCACTCGAGGACTAAAAATATTAGAAAAAAACAAAAATAAGGACAACAATTGCGAAAGGCTTGTTTTAGCAACCAAAATTAAAAATATTAGCTAAACTCAGGGGCTAAAAATGTAATTTACTCTTAAAAAAAAAAAACGATACAAGCAACCGCTCATCAATCCGCTTCTCCGCCAGCAGTCCTCTCTTCGCCGGCGTTGCTTCTCTCTACTCCGTTGACAGAAACTTGCCGGCTGTCTTTTCGTCAACAGGTAAAATTCGATCTCCACCTACAAAAACCTAGATTTTCTACATCTTTTCGCATAGTTTATTACTTGTTCCCTCTCAATTCTAGAAATTCCAATTAACATGTTTCTCATTAGGTTAATTCTGCACTCTACAATTTCGAATCATAACCATCAGAATTTGAAAATTTATCGTGTCACATCTGTTCCTACATTGTTGCGTGGTTGTAAGCACATTAAACAAACTAGTCGATGGTTGATCAATTGGACAATTTTGTACGCTTTTTCCATCCAAAAAAAAAAGAAAACAAATATACAAGAATCCATTTCTTTGTTTGATTACGTTTCACTTCTCTTTAATGTTCTTATTTACTTGATCTGAAGTAAAACAAAAGAGCCATTTTTGCTCTTGTTACCATTTGTGTTCATGTTGAAGCAGAAAAATAGCCATTGATTGTCGATTCCATCTACTAATCGGAATCAGATAAAGAACTTTAGCCAATTGGCTGTTTTTACACTAACTGTGATGTTTCATTCTTCTTAATCTTTCCCTTTTCGAGTTGGTAAATTCTCTCAGCATCAGGTACAGCTTTAATGATGGTTTCTAGCTTTAGATTTAGTTCTTCAATCTTCTCTACAAGTCTATCATTTGTAAACATTCCAATCATTACATTTTGAATTGTTCTCCAGCTTTCCGCCAGTGGTAGAACTATGATCACAGCTGACCCAATTGTACCCCATGCTATCGCCACAATTGCCCAGAAAGTAAAGTATCCTTTGCTGAAGTCCTCTACAAAAAGTAACAAATATAAGTCAAAAAAGAGCTTCAAATGAAAAAAGGGTATTACACAACATGGGAATCCAAAGCAAAGAAAGTGATGCTCATGTTCAACTTGAAAAAAAGGGTATTACAACAAGGAAGGTGTGATAGTAATAAGGGTTAAATGCAAGAAATATCAATACACTTTCATTTATTTGTTTCATTTATTTGTTTATTGTAGAATCTACTTTCATATATTTCTACCACAACATTGTATTTCAAAAATACACCCAATTATAGCCTTAATTGGGTAGATATTTTAACGTGTAATCGTTTAATAAGGAAAAAAAATAGAAATACAATGTTGCAGTAGAATGAAATGAAATGAAAGACTCATAATAAACAAATATATGTATGTACATTATTATTTCTTGCATTTAGCCCTAATTTTAATGATAATAATAATTATTATTACTATTATTATTATTCCACTTGAAACTGATACCTCACTTCTGGATTCTCACATTCTTACTGCTGTCAATCAAGAACAAAATAAATCTTAAAAACTTATTAAATTGAGAGTTAAAAAAGTAAACTTACTTGCGGGAAGGGACAAAACGGGCCATAATATGACAATCACGAACGTAAACCCGACACCCCATTTTATAATCCATCTCTTCGCAGCAATCAACTTCTCCTCCTTATACTCATCAACTGCAATCTCACTCCTTTCCTTCTCAACAACCGTTATCTGCCTCGTGCTCTCCCAATCATAATCTTGTGGCTTCAAGAAACTACAAACCGCATGAACGGCCCCACCCGTAAGAATCGAGACTAAATTTCCCACAAGCATCGGTGCGTTTCTTCCGGTTGTATCAAGATTGACCCGCCCGTATTCAACCCTAGCAACCACTAACCAAGTAATGATACCTAAAAGGCACCCGGAAATGGTCCCTAAAATGGCACCAAATGCATTGGCTTTTCGCCATAGGAGCATGAAGGCTAAGGGCATAACTGCGGACCCGATGAACACACCCATGGCTAGGTACATCCAACCGAGGGACACACCGACTTTGTTAAGTATGACTGCTAAAATTCCCATGAAACATCCGAATGAGAAGACGACTGCGCGTGAAACTTTTAGGATTTGTTTCCCGGTTGCATCGGGGTTGATGTATGTACGGTAGATGTCGTAGGTGCAAAGGGATGAAACCGCGATTAATTCGGAAGAACCCGCAGAGGTTACGGCCCTACGGAGTAGTTTGATGAAGAATGTAAGTTTTTAACGTTAATTCGGGACAAAGGGTAGAAATAGTAATTTCGGTGAAACATCAAAACGGTATTTGTCCATAATCCATACAATAGTTTATCGTTAATTCGAGACAAAGGGTATAATTGTAATTTCGGTGAAACATCAAAACGGTATTTGTCCATAGTCCATACAATAATTCATCGTTAATTCAAGACAAAGGGTAGAATTGTAATTTCGGTGAAACATCAAAACAGTATTTATCTGTAGTCCATACAATAATTTATCGTTAATTCGAGACAAAGGGTAGAATTGTAATTTCGGTGAAACATCAAAACGGTATTTGTTCATGGTCCATACAATAATTTATCCTCACAAACATCATTTATCGGTACAAGGGGGGAAAAATAGGCTCTTTGAGTGTGTGTTATGTGTTTCTGATTAATTGTTCTATGGATTAGTGCTAAACTGATAAAATGATGTTTATATGGAGTAAGTGTTGTATAAATAAAAGCATCAACTGTCTGTTGTCTAAATGAGTGTACATTGACCACTTTACCCTTTGGTGTAAAATAGATGTCGAATAAAAAATGATTGTTTATTTGAGGACAGAAGTGAAATTGAAAATAGCAAATATCAAAGAAAATTTTGACAAACCTAAATAAATCAGTTTTTTAACATGACTAATATTTGATGTTTCCTTTTGACCAAATGCAAAAAGAACAGAAAGATTATTTTCCTCGTTTATTTTTTCTTTCCACTTCCTCAACTATTCCTTCATTTTCTTAAAAATAAAAAAATAAAAATAAATAAAAAAAAAAAGTTGGCTGAAGTTTTTGACTTACATGAAAAGCATGGTGAGAAGGAGAACAGATCCTCCTTTTCCCATCAATGCAATAGCTGTAGCAGGAGGCACAAGCCCTCGGCTCGCTTCACTAGCGGTCAACGGAAGGTCAAGGGCTAGAGCTCCTAAACCAAGTGCTGTTGCTAAAGAAAACGGCACAGCGAACCATACAAGCCCACCTAACAGGTAGCCTTTGTGAGTCGATTGTGGTCTAGCTGCAATTGCACTCACCCAATATCCCTAAACATAAAAATTAAAAAAAATAAAAACATTTTATAATCAAAACCTGTTTTGTTAGGTTTTGTTACACACGCACGCTGGAATGTGTTTGATGTGCATTGGACTGTGCGATCGAGATTAAAATTAATGGCACAAAAAATTATAATTTTTTGTCGCATGCAAAAAGATGGAACAAGGTTGCGATGTGGACTCGTTCACGATCTCTCCTCTATAAGAAAGAAGTAAATGCCCTTCTTATTCTTATCATTGTAAATAGCCGTAGAAACTTTTTTGAGTCTCGTCTAGTCAAGTCTAGTACTTTCATATCATCTCTTGTCCCGTGTAACAACCATGTAACAATCAGGATTTTTACACGGGACAGGGTCACACGAGATGGGACTGGATTAGAGTGGACTGTACAAGATTAGAAAACCTTTCTAGTGCTTTTTTCTATGATAAATATGAGAAGGGCATTTATGCCTTTTGCACATAACCGACAGAGTCTCTGTCCAACCTTCTTCCACGTTTTTGTGTGTGACAGAATATTGTAATTTTTGTCTCGTTCACGTGTCATGTCATGTCATGCGTTTAACAAAGAGGATCTTATGGCTTTGATTTGATAATTAGAACTTACATTGTCAACAAAAACTGTGCCGAAATTACCAACAATGTTGATTATACCAAAAACAAACCCACCGGAGCTCAACATAGTTAAGTAAGATCCGTTGTAGTTCCCGGAGACAGGGCCACAAGCTTGCCCATTGTGGGAGAGAGGTTCTTGACATGTTCTAGATCGGCTCGAGACCTCCATTAGACGTTGATAGACAACGCTTGGGCTACCTAGCTCACTGCTTGCCGTGTAGACCAAGAATACAAAAATGACTAACACCACATGGACTGTTAACAAAAGCAAAGCAATACACAAAAGTTAAGTCGTATGTCAAAAACTAATCATTAAGTCAATACAAATCTTTCTACCTAAAGTGTTAAATGCAAGATATAGCAACGTACTTTCATATATAGGTTTATTAGAGTACCTCGCGTCCTATTACAAAATTGTAGTTCGAAAAATCTATCCATTTATAACAGTCATTCGAAACAAATTATTTTTTTGTTGCTATAATTGGGTAGTTTTTCCAAAGTATAATATCTTAATCGGAAAAACATTTAAAGTGCAATGCTCTAAAAGTTAAAGGTGCTATAATAAGCAATAAAATGAAAGTACACTATTATTTCATGCATTTAGTGCTTTACCTAAATATAAATCTCTAGTTTGACTGTTAAAGGTCAATATGACTGCGCTTCATTTTTTAAAATTACTTTCAAGAACTTTTTACTAACAAAATAACATAAAACAAACGGAAAATTTTTGCTATTGCAAATTTTGAGAATTATTGATTTTGAAAAAAAACATGACAAGTTTGACATGAAAAAGTCAAACCAATAGAGAAGCGTGTAAGATTACCTATCACAGAATGTATATAGCTAGCCAAGAAAGTGGCCTTCAATCCTCCGGCCAGTGTATATACGATTACACCAAGAGGTATTAGAAAACTGGCGGCATAAATGTTGACTCCGGTGAGTGCATTGACCACCGCAGAGCCGCCAAGCAGCAGCATCGCAGTTACAATGATATTTGTCATGAAACAAAAACTAAAAACACGACATGTGCAGCCGTTCCCCATCTAATAAAAACACACATCCAAACAAATTAAACATGATAAAAAAAACTATTAGAACTAAATTAGATTATAATAAAACTATATCATCTTCTACTTTATTTTTTCCTTACTACCAACATACTTACATTTTTCTACCAATATGGGAAATGTAATTTATTTGATATGTATTGCAATTATATTTAATGGTAAAAAAACATAAGTATGTCACTATTATGATTTATGAGTAAAGAATTGTCGGGTATGTGTATAAAGTAAATGTACGTTGGTTGCTATTTTGTGTTACATATTGTTAGGGAAATCTCCAGAGAAGTCCTATAATTTTAGTCTAATTTATGAAAAAGTCTCAAACTAATTTTGTTTACAGAAAAGCACAGAATACCGGTTAAAACTTCGAAAAAACCCTTTTTGCCCGGTTTCAAAGATTTAGCCGGTATTCTATTCTTTTTCGTTAGTTTGCTCAAAATATTAGGATTTTTTTGAAAATTACCAGATAACCAAAATATTGGGACTTTTCTGAAAATTACTATGGAATTAATAGATATTATTATTAATAAATCATTTATAAACATATAAATATTTTTATTATAAACAAAGGAAATACATTTTTAGCTGATTTCTAGGAATAGAATGGTCGACTATGTACTTCTCTATTGTTTGTTGACCACTTCAACGTCCTTATGTTCCTCCTATGTATCGTTGTGAGTGTCAGAGTAAGAAGTAACTTGTTAGGCGTGGCTAATACAAGATTTGATAATATTTATTAATACACAATCAATAAGTGTCTATTTTGCTATTAGGCATGACGCTATATGATCATATGTTATTAGAAAATATCATTACACAACGATTCTTGAACATATGGATATTTTATTATGTTCTTTAACCTAATTACCACCTAACCTCCATACATTACCCGGTAACAACCATCAAATTACACACATTTATCGAGAGTGAAAAGTAAACTTTGAATGACAATTTAAATAGATAATCACCCTTCACTTGTTTCCATATAAACTATCATTCATGGATCACTTTTCACATTTGATATATGTGTGTTAGCTGATGGTTGTTAACATGTGAGGTATGGATGTTGAGTGGTAGTTAAGTTAAACAACATAAGATGAACACCAACATTAAAGGAACAGTAACTGAGTACATCTCACCATCATATCCACAAAAATGCATAGGAGGAACGTAGAGAGTTTGAGTGGTCAGCAAGCAATAGATGAGTACTTAGATGACCAATTTATTCCTAGAAATTAGCATCAAATGTATTTCATTTTTTATAATAAAAATATTTTTTATGTTTGTAAATGATTTGTTAATAATAATATCCATTAATTCCATGGTAATTTTAAAAAAAAGTCCCAATATTTTGGTTATCAAGTAATTTTTGGAAAAGTCCCAAAATTTTGAGCAAACTAACGAAAAAGGATAGAATACCGGCTAAATCTGTGAAACCGGCCGAAAAGGGTTTTTTCAAAGTTTTAACCGGTATTCTGTGCTTTTCTATAAATAAAATTTAGTTTGAGACTTTTTCATAAATTGACCTAAAATTTTAGGACTTTTCTGCAGATTTCCCCATATTGTTATTATTGGTAAAATAAATTGAAGTATGTTGTTATGGGTTTTATGCAGAAAAGTCTCATTAGTTTGGGAAATCTTTTGATAAAGTTTTAACTTTTTTTTATTTGAACAAAAAAGTCCTGATTATTTAACATTTTGCCCAAATTAACGAAAAAGTCTTTTTTTTTTTTTTTTTTTTTAATTTTAACAGGAAATGATATATTATATGATTTTCCTAAAATAGTGGGATTTTTCTTTTAAAAATAACATTTAGGACTTTATCAAAAATTTTCCAAAAATAATAGGATTTTTCTGCATAAACCGTTGTTATGGGTAAATAAATGTTGTGTATTACTATTATGGGTAAAAATAAAGTATATTTCCTTATATCCGTAAATTAAGATAACTACATTGCTATTTTTGCAATTCACCCAAATAAAAATTGGTTATATTTCACTTTTTCATTCAACTTCATAATGGAATTAAAAATAAAAGATATCTCATGTTTCTATTAGCAAAACAAACATTTTTTTATATCAAACATAATGAATCCTTTCAATCCTCTCATTTTTAGAGTGTCATGTTAAACACTACTTAAGATGTCATGTAAGGATAAACATACCGAGCTTTGACAATTTCACAAACTGTATGAGCATGAGCAGCTTTTCTTTTGATCTCTATAGCCATGACACCAAACAAAAGCACCTGATTTAAGTAAAATTACAACTTTTTAGGCATCAAGTACAAGATATAAAGCGTGAAAGATGTAATTAGAAATGTGCGGTGGGACTAGAACCTGGATGGTGGCACCACTGGCGTACCAGAATGGACCGCTGACTCCGTACTCCCAAGCAACATTTGAACTTTGTAATATCGTAGCAGCCCAAGTCCACTTTCAATACATTTTTGTGTTAGATCATAAATAAAAAATTAGGATTAAATGCTAAAATATAAAGTTGCACTTTGTAGAATCTATATCTATTTTTTTATCCCAAATCTTAAGCTTGTCTTTCTTTCGACTAGATATCTAATTTTAACAATATTTTCTAAATGCAAGCAAGTTGACATTGGTATGATTGGACAGAACTTTTAAATATTAAGTATTATATAGTAACTCTACAGATTTTTACTATATAACTTCTTAATAAGAAAAAAAATAAAAGAAAATTAACAAATAAATAAATTACAGTTGATTTTAATATATATATATATATATATATATATATATATATATATATATATATATATATATTCTTTTATCTTTTGTTTCTATTTATTTTTCTATTCATAAAAGCAAATAACATGTGAAATTTAATATTTTATTTTAATCAATCATCAAAAGAATATTTGATTTTCATTTTTTTTTTTAAAAAGACATCCTACTAAAGCATTTATAATATAATTATCTATAAATATTTTTGGTAATTTTGTCCACTCTCCCAAAACCCGATCGTGCACGTGTCTGTTTTTACTAAAAGTAATTTAATTTTACTTGCAAATTGCAATAAAACCAAATATAAAGCCCACTAGTTAAGTTTGACTTTTCCTTTGGGTTCGGAAGAGTCAACTGATCGGAGTTCAGTCAATCTACAGTTCCGATCAAACTGAACACACGAGAACCTCCAAAAATCTTACCTGAGATACAATAACACTTGCTATGAGTCCGGTTTTGACGTTTCTTCCCGGCGGTGTTGAACCACTCCGACGTGTGGCGAGCTCCGACGTAACGTTTCTCCACCCAAACCTGTGCCCACAAAATGTAAAAAACGTGCAAGTATGGTTGTACATGATGCAGATGGAGTAGTACCTACCAGGAATGAGGTGAAGAAAGCAAAGAAGGCACCAAATCCGAGAATAACAGAGTACCCAACACCTTGATTAAGGACAGCTTTCCCGCCAAAGAAATTGCTCTGCCGCAAACAGGCGTCGCCGGAAGTTTGGTAATACTTGCCGGAGAAATCGAAGGGAGGGCAGCTTGACATTTTTGTGTGTTTATGAATGAGAATTCAGAAGTGAAGTGAGAGAAGCGTATGAGGTTGTGATATTGGGTATTGTTGACGGAAGGAATGATACAAAGTCAAACAATTAGATGAGGGGATCAAGAAGGAGTATCTTTTAATTGGTAGTATAGGAATCTGTTTAGCGGCATGGTGGATTCCAAAATGGGCCCTAGTTTTACCAATTATTTAATTTGTTTAATATAAAGTTCAATGATTCCCTTTACAGAGGAGATTGGGGCGAGTACTAGACGAACTCGTAAGTAATATCAAACTATTATTCAATAATTAAATGTCACAAGTCTATTAAACAGTTGATTTAAAAAAATATTAAATATAAAAAGAAATAAAGTATTTATTGCAATTAAAATTATATTCGTTATATTTAATATATTACATATATAAATAAAATTATTATATGGCGTTTTAAATTTAAATTTTAAAAATAAACCAAACATGTGATAATTGTTAATTTTTAAAATATCATAAAATTACAAGTATCAAAACTTATGAAAGAGTGTGACAAAAGATATTTATTTATGAGAGTAGATGAATGTTCATAAATAAAATCAATATGGTTTTTCATATTTTTGGTTTAGTACTTAATTTTTTTAGTATGGTGAATTGGTCCCTTGCACATATAAATAGTCGTTTATATTCTTTTAATTTCTTTTATAATTTTTAATTAAAACTATTTCAAAAAAAAAACAAAACAAAAGAAGTAAATACAACCCACCCACCATTTGCCTCACCCCCTTCCACATAATGTCTTGCTCTACTTTTGATTACTTTCTCTCGCCTGCAAATATCACTTCGGTAAGCCTTTATCGACCTACCGCTACCAGAGAGGTCAGGTACGCCTTCGGCTTGTTATTCGACTCCGACAACTTCTTCTGCCTTATCGGTGTATTTTCATCATCGTCGTCAAATGGCAAGAAAGGTTCTTTTCTTTCATCTTCTTTCTCTTTATGGTTCCTAAGCTCTTTCACTGTCAAATGTCAATAGATTTTTTCGCCAAAATCTTGATTGGAGAGTTGTTTTGCCAAAATCAACATCATGGGTAACATCACCATTACCCACATGCCAAAAAACCATAAAATCACAAAATTGGTAAACAAGGTTTCCATTTTGTAGGCTCGGATTCGGTTTTTATAATCATCATTCGTTCAAGGAACAATATGTATGGGTTATCAGCAACCATGGGACTATCAACAGTTCTAGTGGGTAAACAACGCGCCCTATGGGTTATCAGCAACCCTGGAGATTATTCGTAGTGTCTGTCACACATAAACAACATAACACAATAATAACAGTTAGACCCAACTGGTCATCACAAATACAACTATTCTACCACACAGGTAAGAATAAGTGAGGAGACTCACATAATACCGATGACAAATAAATCCCACATCCGAACTGCCGGAACTAGACTCCGCCTAATAACGCAGTAATTAATCCTAATTAATAATTAAGGTCCATAACTCAACTCACAAGTCCAAATCCCAAAACTATGCCCCTTAAGGGAAAAAAATACCATTTTGCCCCTTCCATGGTCCAAAACTCTAAATATTGACCAAAAGTCAAAAGTCAGCTAAAGTCAACTGTCCAGCGCATACGCTGGGCGTACTCCTTCTTACGTGGGATATACAACTCAATCAGCGACCAATCGAGAACGGGCCTAGCTACGCGGGGCGTAGCCAGGAGTACGACCGACGTACTCTGCCTGATCCCCATTTATTAACTTTTATGTCTTAATCCGTTAAGACACATATCCCAACTTCAGATCTGACCATCATAACATGTCTTAACCTGTAAAGTCACCGAATTTAAGCCTTTGAATCGCTAGAAAGGATCCATTACACAAAACTATAAATTTCATCATACTCTAAGTCACTTAACTCATGCATGGGCCAAGGGAAATGATCTAGCAACTCTTTTTATGAATCTACAAGACCTAGAACACATTAAAGGACAGCTACAATGCTCTGGAGTGTTCCATACTCACCAAGGTCCAAACTGTGGGAAAAAAAGCCCATAAAAACTCATCCATGGAGATCTAAAAGGAAACACATCAAGGTATAAACTTTATAACTTCAGAAGATGCACAGGGTGAAGTAGTTTCTGGATCTACAAGTTTGCAAGCAACACCTCCTTCTTCACTAGCCCTCTTCTTCAACAAATAAGCACCAAAATCACTAATAAGCTCCAAACTCTCAGACATAAAGCTTAGACTCGAGATTAGGGTTTATGATGGAAGGGTGGCTGATAAGAAATGTCCAAGGGAGGCATAAGATGGATTAAATAGGGAGCAAACCCTAAAAATTACGGTTTAGAGGCTGAGCTAGTACGCCCGACGTACAACAGGTACCCCCAACGTACTGGCATGGCTTCTGCGATCCGGGATCTCACAAGTACGTTACGCGTACCTCACGTGCGCCCAATGTACGGGCTGTGTAACATCCCGACTCCGAGGTATAATATTTTTTTATATTTATGTATGAGTTGATTGAGCAATTCGACGAGTTGGATGCCCCAACTCGTCGAGTAGAGGCGGATTGACCACGTGGCTTTTATGACCAACTCGACGAGTCGGAGAGACCAACTCGGCGAGTTGGCGCTGTGAGAAGAAAACCCTAATTCTTCGGGGTTGGGTCCTATTTAAAGGACCTCAAGCCCTCATTTCCGCCTCACTAGCCACCTTACTCCCCTGTGTGAGACCCTAATCGCATATATTGAGCTAAAAGAGAAAGAGAGCTAATCTTTGGGCATTTTAGTGCACTTTTTGAATAGAAGAGTGGAGGATCAAGGCAAGGAACGAGAAGAGACTATTGGATCTGGTGTTATTTCCTCTAGAGCTTCTGTTGAAGGTAAAAATGTTGGATTAGGTGTCTAAGCCCATAACTATAATTGATATGTACTTGACCCGAGAGTAGCATGGTCTATTTGGGTTGCATGGCACCGGAACAATTTGTAAGGATGGACTTTTGAGTAGAGGATATTCATGATTTATTAATATATTATAAGTTCTAATATATTAATATGAAATCATATTATTTAATTAGTATTGATCAATAATTAATTTGGAATTAATTTTGTGATTAAAATAGACTAGTTAAATATAAGGGGTTGATTTTATAAATCATTCATTCTTATGAAATTTGTTTAATTAGTATTGATCAAGAATTATTTAATTAGTATTGATCAAGAATTAATTTGAAATTTGTTTGATCAAGAATTATTTAATTAGTATTGATCAAGAATTAATTTGAAATTTGTTTGATATGAATTATCTTAATTTATGAGTTTAATTAGATCATAGACAAATTGTTTGATTTTGTTAGTTACAATTTTTGATCTAAATGTTTTTGATGAAATCCATAACTTGTCCTCAAGTTATGGAAAGTGAAAGTCTCATTAAATGTCATCATCAACATGGTTTTCATTCTTCATAACTCCTCACTTGTGTCAAAGATGGTCTGCCTAACGTTTGATGGACTTGAACGTCCATAACTTTTTATGCCACCACAACTTGTCCTCAAGTATGGAATTTCAAGAGTCTTTTCATAAAACCTATATTAAACTCATGAGTTATGGATTTGAAAGTTTGAAAAGGGTGGAACAGTTTCAACCCTCAAGTTTTTGAATTTGTAAAGTTTCACTTATGAATACTTTAATCCAAATTAAACCTAGATATTTAAAAGTTAAAAGTTAAAATTCAACCCTACTATATATTATAATTATAGTATTAGTGATTATATATATATATATATATATAGATATATCTATATTATAGATATAATAAGATAGTAAGTCTTACCGTTAGTAGGGCCTCATTACGAAGCCGACCGTAGGGGTATAAGGTAGGTTTAACTTCCTATAAAATGGCAGTTTAATGGGTGTCCACTCTCACCCACCTGTTCCTTGACTGGTGGAGGGTCGTTAGCCGAACGGGTTTGACAGGACATTAAATTCTCATTAAAAGTATAATTAAATACTAAGTAACTAAACACTTATAAATTCTCAATCTTAGTTACTTAGGAAAATGTGAATTTGGTGCTAACCCATGAAATTGCACTTTGCACCTTGTTAAGTCGTTATTGGAGCGTGTGTGGTTAACCGACACACTAATCTAGGACTAACAGTGCGTGGCAAAGGGTAGCTTGATGTTAATCATAGATCAATGGAGCGTGTGTGGTTAACCGGCACATTGATTAGGTGGTTGTAACATTGGGTGTACCAAGCTAAATTGCATGGCTATTCACACCTTGTTTGTGATCCTCGGCATCCCAGTCATAAACTTGAAGGGCACAATCGAGATTTAAACATGCCATTGAATAGTTTAATGAATCTCAAAGGATCTAGGAATTTCAATCCATTTAAAACTTAATAATCAATTTCGTTTTTCATGGTGGAAATTGGTAAATCGTCATTTACCTACCTTCAAATATTTTGCAATTTCGATTACGGCATCCCTCTTCCAAATTATAAAATATTGTGTTGGGTCCTAGCCTTAACATTTCATGTTGGGTGTTATATTAAGGACTAAAATCAACTAAACTTGAATTTCTCCCATTATAGATGTCTAGTTCAGACAACTATGGTCTTGCCGAATCTTTTGAATAAACTTTCTTTATAAAGATGATTTTCCGCAAGGCGATCAAGGTGAAAGATTAATCCCTTCTTCATGATGTAGTGGAACTTCACTTCCTCCCACCTCCTCCAATTATTCTTCCTAAACCACAAGTTCAAGGTCACTCAAAGCCCCATTGGCATGAAGGAAAGTCTGTATGTGCTCACGTCTTGCAGATGAAGTTACATATTGACAAGCTGGGAGAGTTGGGTGTCGAAGTCTCAAGGAAGTTGGTTGTTGACTGGGTTCTTCAATCACTTCCTAAGTCATATAGCGGGTTCTTTAAGGACTACTGTATGGGAGATCACAACATGACCCTTATTGATCTTGTCTATTTGCTTGTTGCTGCTGAATCAGCAATGATTTGGCGCACTGGAAAAGCAAATTTGATTGGAAGATCTACTCCCCAAACTTCCATGGACATTGACAATGGTAACGTTGGAAGTCCAGAAAAGCT